AGGTGCAGAGTCGGGAGAAGGAGCCGCATCTATCTCTCTCCGCAGAGAGCTGTGTTTCGCAGCATGTCCTGGAAGCATCGACTCTTTGGTCGCATTTGCCTGGCGGTCCAAGTCTTGCGAGATGATGCTTGGACACATGTGAGGAATGGCTTTGCGGAGCAACACGCGGTGGGGCAAGAAGAGGCTGTTCCGGTTTGTCTTGCATGCGTGCAGTGGCAAGCAGGCCATGAGCATGTGGGCATGTGCGATGACTTGTCCAAAAGAATGCAGGTGGCCGCAGAAGCACCTGAACTACAGCCTCCCAGAACGAGTCTGCAGAATGATGTGCCGGCAGCTGAAGCCACGAGCCTCGACTGCGCACTGCGCATCAGTTTCGCAGTGTGCGCACCTGCCGGCAAGTCAGGAACGTAGTGGAGAGCAAGAGCGGAACGGTGCCAGCTGATGCAGAAGAGCAGGCGTGTGGTTGGGAAAAGCCCGTCTAGTGATGCTGTTGGATGTTGGTTGTTGCGCACCTGATGTCAGGAGCTGAGAAGCCAGCCAGGAGGGACAAGTGCTGGCAAGGAGTCTCAAGAATCTGGAGCTGCAGAGAACTCTTTTGTCCCGCCTGTCAGCGAGCAAGACCGACAGATCCAGGCAGCCCAGTTTGTTGTTGCATGTTTGTCGTGTTCAAGTCCCTGCTGGGACGAAGCTGAATCAAGTGCAGGCTGTGGAGCCATCAGCTGTTGAAGACGAGGCCACATCATTGTGTTTCTCCGTGCATGTGCCTATAATTAGGGGCCTATCGCAGCAGCAAGTGTCATGCGAGGCCAAAACGAGTCGGGAAAACATGCAGGCCACGGCTGTGCAGGCAGCTGGACTTCTCATGATGACCACTCCGTCGGAGGGCGTGCACGAGCTCCAAAGCGGTGAGGAGGGGCCAGTGGCGGCTGAAGTGATCCTTGGTTGCAGCGAAGTGCGGTGCAAAGCGCAGTGCGCATGTACCACAACGACAGTGCAAGCTGAGGATTCGAGCCAACTCTGTGACGGCGGCGCCACTGGCTGATCCCGAAGAGCAGGCAAGTGGCCAGTGCAATTAGGTTTGGCGATTTAGCTTGGACTGCTCTCATTGTCGGGGCCAACTTAGGAGGTGCAGAGTCGGGAGAAGGAGCCGTAACTATCTCTCTCCGCAGAGAGCTGTGTTTCG